ATATACACACATAGAATTTTCAATTCATGATAGTAAAAAATACATAGGTTTAAAAATAGTTGAGTCGCATTAAAGAAGTGATAAAACTTTAGTGCTTTTGACAGATCTATCTGTTAAAAGTGCTTGAGTTTTTAAATGTGATTATAGAATTTTTAATTTATTCAGCTTGAATGCATAAAAATGTGCAATCTTAAGTGTATCACTATAGTAATGAGAAAAGCCTAAAACTCTCACAGTATGAATGTATAGTGCTAAATTTTTAGTGTATATGTGTATATATATCTGTAATTTTGTAACCCATGAACTTCTTCAAGTTTGTACATTATGGTCTTTGGTTTAAACTATTATTTAAACCAAAGACCATAATTAATATTAACAGTTAGCAATGTAACTTTCTTACAATAAGTGCTTTCTGCTTAAGTTACATGTCACAAAAGAACAGTAAGTTCAAAATTGGAAATTGCCAATAATATTAACATCGGAAAATGCCAGCAATGTTAATGATAATACTAAAATGTTTGGGATGTACACTAAAAGGATGTAATAAGTAAAATCCAACACAACAGTGTTTCACTTGTTGCACTGTCATGCAAATAGTAACATCATATCAAATTTGAATTTGTAACATGGATTTAAAAATGTTTAGAAGAACATGCAAAGTAGTCTGATAAACATCAGCTTTGACCAGTAGGTAAAAATGTGACAACTGGCTTGTTGTTCATAGTGTCTTTATCAAACTCATGATAGTGTGTTGTGTGGCCAAAACAACCTGCAGGACACTGTGTGTGTTATTAACAGGAGTGACAGTTTAGTGATTTTTCACCTTCTGCAGCTCGGACTGTGGTAATCCAAACTGTCAAATATTTTCAGTGGATGTGCTACACTGGACCTTTCCTTCATCTACCAAATTTCAAGGCAATCTATTAAGAAATACATGAGATATAAAATCTCTGATTTTGATTGAAAGTATGGAAAATTTATTTGATAGAAAAACATACTTAACTTTTATGGAATTTTTCAAATTTGGTTCAAAATTTGATAAATCTTTACAACCAACAATTGGGAGTCAAATTTGCTCTCAATATAGCCACATGTACAAAGTTATTCAACAAAACCGCTCAATTTCTACCAAATGTTTTGTGCACGCTAATGCAAAAAGTCATGTGAGCTATTAGTTAAAGTTTTTACTACAGCTTCACCTAAGAGTAAAAGTGAACCATTTTTAGTTATTTCTCATTCAGGTTAATGACGGCTGATTTAGAGCAGCAAAACTATAGAATGAAAATGCGTGCAGATATCTAAGTATTGGTTAGGCCAAGCTAACTAGATTAGCAGTTTCTAGCTCAATTTTTCAAAAGAATCACACTGTGGATGGTTATTATTCATTAATCCTTTTTTGCTAACTAATAAATGAATATTTGCTGTAAAATTCTTATCAATGCTCTAAGTGTAGCTACCAATTTTGATTTTATTCCTTTTAGTCCCATGTTGAATCCTTTTTTGGCTGCACCTTTTTTCACACCTGATTAGATTTTATTAACACCTGAACTCATAGCAGCATAATACTTTTTGTCATGTGCTGTAAAAAATATACATTTGGTTTTATTAAACTTTGATTCACATGTTTAACTTCAGTGACCATCAGACAAATTGGTCAATTATTAGAGATTCAAGGAAGCTTAGTGAAAATGAAACAAAAATTGAAGTCGGGTATGTTTTTATTGCAATGAAATAGAAGGTATGCATCTAAACTATAAATCATTCAGAAAAAGTTTTAAAACTTTTGTGTGTGTGTGTGAATTAAATGCTTCATTTGGGGCATTTTTTTTAATGTAGGCTTTATTGTCATGTTGCACTTGCATCACACTTTCAAACTGCACATGGCAATAAACTTATAAATGTAGTAGTAATTTGTTATTATTCATTTTGATGCTACGTGTGTAGTAATGTTACCTGTGATATGCAGTTACTCCCAGATATCAATTGTCAACATTCCCGTGACATTTTTGTTAAAAATTTATAATAATTAGTTGGTTGTGGATGTGAAGTATTTATTTATGGAAATGTGTAATCATAAGTGTTTTAAACAATTTGAATATCTAGATAAGCATAAATTTTGTTTATAGTACAAGTTTGTTCCCTTGCCATCCTATCCATGTGATTATGAAGTGATTCAGAGCACCCTGTGGTCAAACCTACCTTTCTCTTGTAAGGTAAGTGTTTTCAGGAATCCTAGAGTATTGCTATGTATTTGATTGCAAAGAACCTTTCATGTTTCACAATTAGACATTCATAAGTACAGTGACAGTAAATGTACATGAATTATCATACAGTGAAAACATTTTGGCATATTTACTACTTTTGTTTCAAATTAACTCTCTCCCTATGGGTACCATTTGCTGTGCATGTCACAACCTTTTTAGAGAGTTACGTTCAAAATTGAATTAAACTACATTATTATCAATGATTATGAATAAACTTGGCATCAAAATGTAGTTAATAAATTAAGTTTTAATATTATACAAGTTTTAAGTTCTTAATTTTAGTGTCATTTCTATGGTTGACTCATCCTCAATAGAACGATTTGTACCTGCACATGTCACTACAGTGCATCTGAGATTCTAATGGGATGAGGCTAAGCCTGAGTCAATTGAAACCTATCAGAGCAGACTGAGGAAATGTTTAGATAATGTCATCCGGACTGAGCGAGGTAATTCATTGTAATCAGGTTAACTGTAAACGTCATGACGCATCAATAGAAGACTACCATGATAAGCTGGTTAAAGCCTGTATAGACTCTAGTTGAAATCTATACCACGTACTCGCAGTAACAAACTTTCTGTGACTGGCTGGAATGATGAGGTGAAACCCGTGCACAAAAATGCGTTCTTCTGGCATTTCATCTGGAACGAAATGGGAAGACCAAGAGTTGGGCTAATTGCCCAGATACGGAGGAGTACTCGTGTAGAGTATCATCATGCGGTAAAACGTGTCAAATCCCGAGCAGATCAGCTATCATCTCAGAAGATAACTGATACACTTGTGAACTGTCAGAACCGCGATTTATGGAAGGAGATGAAGAAGTGCAACAAAATTTCTAAACCTGTTTCTTCTACCGTTGATGGCGCTGCCGGCGAAAGAGAAATTGCCAATGTATTTGCTAGTAAGTATGAATGTCTGTATAACTGTGCCTCATACGAAGATGATGATATGGCTACCTTAGTATGGGAACTGGATAAGCAAATTCATCATCACTGCTGCAGTGACCAGTGTTATCACGGCCACTTTGTTACGACTGACCTAATTGATAATGCCGTGTCTCGCCTTAACTCCAGTAAGAGAGACGGTGATGGATGATGATCTACCAACTATATCAAACATGTAGGTCTGGTATTACATACACATCTAACCATTTTGTTTATGGTGATGATGCATCATAGTTACGTCCCTGGTGATATGTTGGCATCGACTATCATACCTATTCCAAAAAGTATGAGAAGATCGCTGAGTGATTCAGGTAATTATAGGGCCATTGCCTTAAATAGCCCATTAAGTAAACTTTTTGAGCTTGTAATATTAGAAATGAATGCTGAGTCACTGGTTACAACCAATCTGCAATTTGGTTTTAAGCAGAAATCGTTGACTACACAGTGTACTTTTGCTGTACAAGAGTAATTCAGTATTACTTAAATAATGACACGTCCGTGTTTTGCATGCTTTTGGATGCGAGTCAGGCTTTTGACCATCTCCAGTATATTAAACTGTTTGAACGATTACTTGAGAAAGGTTTATGTCCTTTAACATGTAGAGTACTGTTACTTATGCATACAGGACAGGTGGTGCGGCTTCACTGGGGAGAGATTCTTTCAGGTTTGATATCTGTGTCCAACAGTGTCAAGCAAGGCAGAATTCTATTGCCTGTGCTTTTTTCAATCTATGCTGATATGTTACTTACTGAGCTATGTAACTGTGGTGAGAGTTGCTACATTAACAGAACATTTGCATGAGCGATCGCTTACTCCGACTACATTATCCTTTTAGATCTGTCAAGAACTGGGTTATTGAATATGTTGGAAATTGCTGAACAAATAGGCAAGGACCATAACATTAAGTTCAAACCAGCGAAATGCCAGTTTTTGAAATTTAGGTGTCCTGCTTCAGTTAGTAATGATAATGTAGAACAGCCTATATTGTTCTGTGACATGATGGTTCCATTAAGCAAATTAGCTGTACACCTTGGTCATTACATCGGCTTTAATTACAATGTAAATTCCATTCAGAAAAGCTTGAATGAATTGTACCAGAGATGTAATTCGTTACTATCTAAATTTTCACTTTGTTCATATGATGTGTGATACATATTGTATGTGTTCATATGGATCTAATCTTTGGGATTTTGATCATAAAACAGTCGAAAGTTTTATTGTGCATGGTGGAAATGCATTCATTGCATTCTCATGGTGCCATATGACATTCACTGAATGGATTAACGAGATTCTCACTGTCCCTATCTTGGCTGTGATTTCGCTGAATAGTAAATAGTAGATGCAACTAAAAAGTAAGTATTACTTGACTATACAATATCTAATTTTAATATTATTTTATGTTGTAGTGGTGCTGTAGGTTGTTACTAAGTTCACAAACTAATAAAGTGAGCTGGTTCACCATAAGAGCAATGTGAACAAGTTGTAATGTGGAGGTATTTTTATTTTGGGTTTTTACATGCATTTACTACCATATTTCATGTGGTTTGAGAATAATTTGTTTTTTAATCTCTCACCCACATGTTGAAAGTAATGTTACACTTATGGAAAACTCATCAGCTACTAAGAAACACTTTTAAGCATTGTTTGGTTTTGAATTCATCTTGTGAAATTTGTGTCATTATTTCAAGATCTCATTGAATATAACTTTCAATTCTGGTCTGTGTTATATTAAATAAAGTATATTATATTAAATCATTTATATTAAATGACCAGATACTTAAGTAAAAGAAATATTGTTCTTATGAAATGAAAGATTAATAATCTTATTGTTTCTAACATAAAGGTGAAGTTATGTTTAGTTCTGGTTTCAGTTTTCTAATCAGTAAAGACTCCTTTATTCTTTATTGGATGAAGGAGTCTTTACTGATCAGGTAACTGAAAGCAAAACTCAACAAATACTCTGTTCAAAGAATTATTACTGTTGAAATAATATACTAATACATTAATTGTCTGACTGTCTAATTTCCAGGTTTGACTTGGTAGGTTTCATAATGACCTTACACTTTGACCTTCAACTGCTAAAGGGATATTTTGTCATTATAAACAGAGTATCTGATAAAGAATTAGCATCTTATGACATCCTAATATTACAGATAAGGGATTCTTTTTTAAAAAAATTCCTTTCTTAAAATGTTTTTAAAATGCATTGCAACATGTCACAATCATAAATCATAGTTTTCATTATGAATTAAAGCTATGGTTTTCATGCAAATGAAAGCTTGTATGTTACACCACATGTTTAATTCTGATTGAAATTTTCATTATCATGGGTCACATGGTCTACTAAAAACACTATGAGGCAAAACCTGAAAACAGTGGATTCAAGAAGTGAGCAGAAACAAAGCAAAAGCTTGTTGTATCCTGTGTGACAAAACTTTTGATGTAAATAAGTTTCAAAACTATAAATACTATGCAAATGGTGACAAGTACAAATTGCATGAGAAAATGAAGACTAATAACTTGCTAAAATGTTTATTGTTTTTTGAAATAGTTTTTGTGTGAAAAAAACCTTGATTTCTGTTAGTTTTGATCTGCAAAAAGGTATTAAAAATATTTTTGCAGTGACTGTATGAATGATAATCCGTGGTTAGAAAAAACTAAGTTTGTGTATTTTTAATGTGACAATTACTAATGTGTATTGAACTAAACAGTTGTAGGGAGAATACTTTGCTGCAAAATTTAAGTATGTATCTGTTCAATTACCTCTGGTACCTACTTTCATCTAGTAACCACAACATATTCCATGTTTTATAGTTAGATGGGTTGCTTTTCTATCATAAGAGAACTCATTACACTGCTGGTGTAACTCCTCTTGTTGGGTGGCTGAAGCCATACATGTTGCCAGAAATGATGCAGATTCCTGTGCCAGAAACTCTTACCTTTGATAAGCCACCTACTTATGTTTCTATGGAACAACATCTACCAAAAGCTTTCAAGGAACATAGGGAAAGAAAAAATATTGAACAACAAGAAAAAGCTGAAGAAAAAATATCAATTCAGGTATGTGAACTTAGAATGTTTATGTTCTATAAATGTTCATTATATATTAAAAAACATACATTTTTTTTTGTTGCTCTCAATGTAGTACTTCTGTATAGTGATTGTATAAAGTGAAATACAGTTACTTGTATACTATACAGTTTCAGTGTAGAAAGTAAATACTCCAGCATAAAGTCTGAAACTTATTATGATTTAAGCTGCTTTATGTTGTGGGTGGGGTGCCACTGTGTTTGATTTATTACATGAGCAATATCTTAATAAATTGAGAGATAAGAGGTTCTTATTTTATATTCTAGCTTGTCAATATAACTAATTTGAGTTTCTAATTCATTCAAAACTATATACTTTGTATTTTGACTTCACAAACATCTAATTTGAATCAGTGCTGCATTCAATATACCACGTGACATACAAAAATCAATGTTTATCTGTTTTTTTAATATTTGCTTTTAAATTAAGAAATTGAGTAATATATATATAGAACTAAAATTTGATTATAATGTACAGTTTGATACCAAACTTATTGACATAAATTCA